TGGATCTGTATGGGGGTTCCCACCCCCACATCCACCGTGGCTGATTCCAGGAGCAGCCGGTTTATTTCCGAGGCTGCGTCTAGACTGCAGGCTTCTTTCGGCAGAACCGTTTTTCGGAAGAGATCTTCCAAAGAAACTTCTTCCACAGGAAACTTCTGTCCATACACAGCAGCACATTGAAAAAGCGATGTGCTGTTTCGAAAGAGAGCATCCACGTAGAATGGACACTGTCTCACGTGTACGCTGTCATTGCTCTGGACGGAAGGGCCACCAGTGCCCCTGTGCTTTTCCCTCTTTCCTCTTCTTTCGAAAGAACTCCCCCTTCCCCGTCCACACGGGCCGGTTTGCGAAAGCCTCTTTTGGGAAAAGGCTCCTTTCGATTTAATTTCAGAAAACACGATTGCAGCGTGGACGTAACTGGAGCTTTTTCAGAAAAACGCTGTAGGGCAGACAGAGCCTGAGATGTCCCTGCACTGTCCTGAGATGGAGCAGCAGGCTGGGTCCAGGAGCTCTGGCTGCCCGGACCCGATCCCATGGCGCCGGTTTGCGAAAGCCTCTTTTGGGAAAAGGCTCCTTTCGATTTAATTTCAGAAAACACGATTGCAGCGTGGACGTAACTGGAGCTTTTTCAGAAAAACGCTGTAGGGCAGACAGAGCCTGAGATGTCCCTGCACTGTCCTGAGATGGAGCAGCAGGCTGGGTCCAGGAGCTCTGGCTGCCCGGACCCGATCCCATGGCTCTGAAGGGCTGTTCCGGGGGACTGCCAGTAACTGAGGCAGCTCAGAAGGTTCCCAGCCCCTACAAATCCAATGTCCCTGTGATCCCCTTGGCTGCTCAATTTCTTCTCAGCTACGGTTCTCGCCCAGGAAAAGTTTCTTCTTAGCTCCTGTCCTTAGGTGTTGCTCCATGTGCTGAAGTAATTCAAGTCCATGATCCTTAATTGGCATGACAGGCTCTGCAGTGGTGCCAAGGTAGAAGCAGGAGGGTTTAGATCCTTCCCAGACAGTTACTGCTCTTTTAATTCCACTGCTGGAGACCTTCTGACCCACAGCCGCTTCATGCAGAAAATTCTCCCCTGGGGACACTGGGCAGAGGTTTGTTAAGGAACAGAGACAGATGTTTGGGGTGAAATGTCTCATTACACTTGTGGGATTGCTGATGTCATTTTTGCAAAGGCTTAATTCAGAAGACACTGAAATGAAGGAGACAGGTCGGAGCCAGTCCCCTGGGTAATTCTGGCCGCTAGCAGGAGTGTTGTGGGCAAGACACTTCCTCCCAGGACTTCCTGGGCCAGTTAGGGAGCTGCATGCCGTGTCCTACACAGGGGTGAACGCTTTTCACTGACTTTCCCGCCAACGTTCCCTTCACTGATTCCGGTCTGTCTGGGTTTTGTTCCAGATGCTGATGGCCACCATCATTTGGTAAGTCGATCCCCCCTGTTCGTTAACTGTCTCCTGTGTGAAGCTGCCCGTGCACGGTCTCTGGCTTAGAAACAGGCGAGAACTCATGAGTCAAAGCAGGAGCAGAGTCTGCCTGGTGCCCGACTGAGCAGAGACTGAATCTGAGGCACTGAGCACGGCTGGGAACAGCAACACTGCAAGGAAAGACCAGTGGGTCACCTGACTCTGGCTAGCGGGTCTTGTGTACAGGGCTAAAGATCAGTGCGAGAGGTTTGGGCTCTGGGACCCTCTCGGGTACCACGGCTCAGGATGAATGCACATGTCTACATGGCAGTGAGTAGACACAAACCACGTGGTGTGAGGAGGGGATTCCATGCGCTGTTGCAGAGGGCACTCGAGGATGGGATGGTAGGACGAGCAGGGGGGACTCTGAGACAGAACGGAGGAGTCCCACAAATGTGCGATGGTTTTTTGTCTGAGCATCACCTGTTAGCGGACATGGCCCCTCGCGCACACAGCGTGTGATTTCTACCCTCTGCGTGCCCCCTTCCCGTCAAACGAACGAGTCGGCTCTTATCACAAACCATCACCTACAACCCCCAACTTAAACCTGTCCAACACATTATCAATAAACTACAGCCTATATTGGAACAGGATACCATACTCAAAGAGGCTCTGGGAGACAGACCCATAGTCTCCTATAGACAACCACCTAACCTCAAGATGATTCTTACCAACCACCACAGGACATACCACACTAATACCAACCCTGGTACCTTCCCTTGCAACAAACCCCGTTGCCAGCTTTGTCCACATATTCATTCTGCTGATACCATTATTGGACCTAACCAAGTGAGTTATAAGATCAAGAACACATATTCCTGCGCATCCAGAAATATAATCTACGCTATCATGTGCCGAAAGTGTCCGTCTGCTATGTACATTGGACAAACATCTCAGACACTTCGCCAAAGGATTAATGCCCACAAAACAGATATCAGACAAGATCACAAAGAGAAAACAGTTTCTTGCCACTTTAACCAGAAAGGACACTCTCTAAATGACTTAGCCACCTGCATTCTGCTACAAAGACCTTTTACATCTGCACTTGAAAGGGAATCCTCTGAACTGTCATTCATGTTAAAATTCGACACTTACCACCAGGGACTTAACAAGTCTTTGAACTTTCTCACCCATTATCAAGACAGTTTCCCCAATTATCACCTGTAATACCATTAACTCACAAACATCCCACTCTCCCTACCTCTAATATCATCAATTCACAGACACTTACCTTCCTTCCTCCCCCTTCCCACCCCCCCGCCTCCTCCTTCTGTTCTGCAATGTGATTTGTCCTTTTCATATTTGTTCTTTTTTTTAATTGTATCCTTTGGTATATATGGTTGTGACTACTTTCTTCCACTATTTGATCTGAGGAAGTGGGTCTGGCCCACGAAAGCTCATCATCTAATAAACCATCTTGTTAGTCTTTAAAGTGCTACATTGTCCTGCATTTTCCTTCAACTACCCCAGACTAACACGGCTACATCTCTATCACTATTCCCCAGACTAGAGGCTCAGATCCTCCTGGCAGCAAGTAGGGAACTGGGAAGTCAGTTGGAAGATCAGCAGGGACAAGGATAGTATGAGATCATGCGAACTCCTCGGGGCAGGATCTTTCTCTTCCCCTGCGTGCTCAGCCCTGTGATGGAGTGGAGGGCGGGGTTAGGGCTCTACTGCAGTGCAGACAGTAACACTAAGAGCAATACCGTTGTTCTCTGCAGGGTTTCTGCACGGAGTACAGCACACGACCAATAGTGTGCAGCGATCACTTCAATCCCATCTGTGGCAGTGATGACAAAACATACCTCAACAAATGCACCTTTTGCCTTGCAGCCTAGTGAGTAACAGAATAAACAGCCCATTTACACAACTAACATGCAACTGTGATGGAAGCCAAGCCCCTGCCAGCTCCCCTTGCTCTGTACCTCCTAGAGCCTGGGGCAAGCGTCTGAAGAATTGTTCCTGCCAGCCAAAGGGCTCTGCTCATTTGATGTAATGGGGCCGTGACAGAAGCTTGCTCTGACTGGCCGGGGGTTGCAGCACTAAGTTCTGTGTCTCTGTCTCTCCCCCTAGTGAACAGCGTGGGAGTCTTTGCTTTCAGCACTACGGAAAATGCAAGCGGACTCCCAGAACTGGGCACAAAGTTGAAGAACTGTAGCTGCCAGTTCCCACTAGCAGAACTGAGCACGGAGCCACATTTGTGTGTCAGCCTCCATTCCCAGGGCTCCTGACAGCATCGCTGACTCCCCACCTGTCTCTGCAATAAAGGAAACTCAGAGCCATTCCTGCCCTCGGTGGTTTTTCCCCCTCTCAAAGGACAGACTCCGCTCAGCAGGGTATCACAAAAATTCCCTCCAGCTTACAGACCGGCGTCGAGGGGAACACACGATGCAACGCCTGGTCACATACACTAAGGGAGTCATTGACTGGCCACTGCTGTATCACCTCCTGCCGTAGCTCTTCCTACAAAATAACCCAAAAGCAGCCTCCAGATATATTCTCTATATCTGAGTCCTTCCCATTTGGAGTGCTACCAAGGGATCAAATCATGAGACCATGAGCAGCGCCCCAGGGAAAGGCTGGGAGAACTAGCAGGGGTGCGGTGTTATAGAATCAAGAACCCAAACCAGGGCACAGGGCTACCTGTCAGGGTGGGAAATATAAAGGGCTTCTCCTTCTCCCACCCTGCTGTGTGTGGCCCTGAGGAGTCAGGCTGTGGGCTGTATCTCTGACTAATTCCCCCACATTCCTCCCAGAACCCAGCAACCTGCTAAATGTGTTTGGTCCTCAGCACACCTCTGGGCTGCCCTGGGGGAGCTGGGCCCATCTCTGACCCTGCTGTGAAGTGGTGCCACCTCCCAGTGGTACGGGAGAGTCTGGGAGCAGGGAGATGTCACGGGAAGTGCCTGGAGATGGGCCAGACGCTCCGAGTGCCTGGGATGGTCGGGAGGTTCCTGCTGTAAGTGTGTCCCATCTCTCTGTGACCGAGGGACTGTGCTCTGACTCCACGGCAGAGAGTTACCGAGCTCTCTCCAGGAAATCAACTCACGGGGGGGTAATTACTGCAAATTCCTGGCAGCCCAACACTCCAGAGCAGAGACACTAAAAATAAAAAGTTCTCACCAATAATCCCCATATTGATTGTCACCTCAGGACAAAAGTTTCTCCACACCTTAAATGACTGTTTCCTGGAGCAACTAGTCTTAGAACACACAAGAGGAGAGAGAATTCTTGAATTGGTTCTAAGTGGAGCAGGATCTGGTCCAAGAGGTATATAGAGCTGGGCCACTTGGCAATAGTGACCATAAGATCATTAGATTTAACATCCCTGTGGTGAGGAACATACTACAGCAGCCCAACTCGCTTATATTTTATTGCAGGAAGGGGGACTAGGCAGGGAAGAGGAAGTCAGTGAAACAGAGATTAAAAGGCACAGTGCCAAAAGTGAAATCCCTGCAAGCTGTGTGGAAACTTTGTAAAGACGCTATAGCTTAAAGTGTTATAAAAGTTATAAAGTATCAGAGGGGGAGCCGTGTTAGTCTGGGTCTGCAAATGCGACAAGGAGTCCTCTAGCACCTTATAGACTAACAGATGGATTGGAGCATAAGCTTTCATGGGCTAAGAGGTCTGACGAAGTGGATCTTTGCCCACAAAAGCTTATGCTCCAATACAAAAGCCATAAAGAGGCTCAGCTGGAATGTGTACCCCTAATTTAAAAAGAAAACAGTAAGAAGCAAACAACAGACTAAAAAAGCAGTGAAAGCTAAAAAAGAATTTGAACAACTAGCAAAAATCTTAAAAAGTAAAAGCTAATTTTTTAAACTACATCAGAAGCAGGAAGCCTGTTAAACCACCAGCGTGGGCACTGGCTGATCAAGGTGCTAAAGGAGCACCCAAAGACAATAAAGCCATTGTGGGGAAACTCAGTGAATTCTTTGCCTTGGTCTTCACAGCTGAGGTGGGGGAGATTTAGTGTGTGTGGGGGGGGCGCAAATCTGAGCAACTGTCCCAGACTGAGGTGTCATTAGGCCCTTTACAACCTTGCACCATTCCTTTTGCAGAAAAGCATCCTGCCAATCTAGACGCTCTTTTCCAAAAATGCTTTTAACAGAAAACTTTTCCGTTAAAAGCATTTCCAGAAAATCATGCCAGTGTAGACTTAACCTAAGAGAAGCAAACAACAAACTAAAAAAGCAGTGAAAGCTAAAAAAGAATTTGAACAACTAGCAAAAATCTTAAAAAGTAAAAGCTAATTTTTTAAACTACATCAGAAGCAGGAAGCCTGTTAAACAACCAGCGTGGGCACTGGCTGATCAAGGTGCTAAAGGAGCACCCAAAGACAATAAAGCCATTGTGGGGAAACTCAGTGAATTCTTTGCCTTGGTCTTCACAGCTGAGGTGGGGGAGATTTAGTGTGTGTGGGGGGGGCGCAAATCTGAGCAACTGTCCCAGACTGAGGTGTCGTGGCCAGACACCCCCCATGGAGAGGAACAAAGGAAGGTGGAATGCTGCCCTGACTGCGGGGGCAGGGCTGGAGGGGAATTTAGTTAGACTGTGGAAGAGCATGGAGGAGAGCCTAGGGGAAGGGGCTGGAGTTTAGGGGCCCAGTCTCCCCCATCTCAAGGGGGCCTGAGGCATCCTAGCCCAGTTCCTGTAACCAGATTACATCTGTGCTGCGCTGTGCTGGAGGAGCAATAAACCACCCTCAATTCCACTGGCTGGTACAGTCTGTTTGTGCCATTTCGGGGTGCAGGAGACGGGGAACCCCCAACGTGCCGTCACACACCATTCCAGGATTTGTCCATTTTTAAGGCCAGAAGGAACCATCAC